AGCCAGCCGGCCCTGTGAGAGCGTGCCACCACGGCCAGCCAGCCCCATGACATCGTGCCACCAGGGCTCCCGCAGCCAGCCGGCCCTGTGACACTGCAGCAGCACCCTTCTCTTCACACCCAGCACTTCTCCCAGCAACAGCCTGAAGCGCAGCGCCTCCCCTCAGTCCAGATCTGTCAGCCTTACTGATGATGCCCACAGCCTCAGCCACTTCTGTCATCATCAATCAGCTACAGACAACATCACAGCCCTTCCCCTCCACAGCAGCAGCTGTCAGTGTACTGTCACAGCCAAAAAAATGTTACTATTTACAGTGAGCTATTTCAAACAAAAGGTGTTTTTCTGTCAGGACACTGCACACCAACTACCACATGGCACTAAACACCATTTCCCAGCTTCCGTTCTTGGTCAAAAGACATTTACACAGTTTTCTGTATATTCAACAAAGACAAAAGACTTGAAGTTTCTCTTTAGTCTGTATTTACCTATTCAACAGTTACAATAGACACTGAAGAGAGTTCATTTTAAAACAGTAAACTTTTAAAACGCATTAACACAGGTTTTAGCTTTTAGAAGAAAAAAGTTCAGTTTTTTAAAAAAGGAGGGAGAGGTCATAGAAAAGCACAGACAATTCAGACAGGCTTATTTACAGAGGCAAACCTAGCATATTCAAGGTGATTTCGTATACAGACAACAACAATCATAAAACCAAACATGCTACATGGCTCCATGACAACAGCAGGTTTTAGAGCAATCAGCTGCTAAGGTAACACACACACCTTAACTCATTTTCTACAGTCTCAGTGCAATGAGTTGAAGTTACACTACAGCTAAAAACTGAACTACAAATTATATATTCCAGACTCCTGTTCAACAGATAATCTGGTATCGCAGCCAAAAAAAAGCAAACAGTTGCAGTGAGACAACGGGATCACCTTCTGCAGCCATTTTGGGTATGCACCCTCAACTATGACCATTCTTTTTCAGCTAGTTGTCCTCCTGCCACAAGGATCATCAGTAACAAGCCTCCAAGAAGTGTAAGCTTTCAGAACTGCCTTTCATGCTTGCTGTAGCCACAAATCAATGATCAGCGAAACCAGCAGAGTTACAGAAATGCTATTGCACATTACAATTCTGCTGTTTCTTGAGTTTGGGTATTTATTCATGGGGCCTCTTAGTTTGGTGAAGACACTTAAGCTCCATACATCAAAGGATCTTTCATCTAAGATCAGCTGCAGGCTGCAGAACCCTGGTCAGCACAGCAAGAGATACACAGACCCACAGCAGTTGCTGGAGTGACGTTTTCACTTCATCAGGGAGCCAGTAAAAAAAAAAAAGCCAGTGAGCAATACAACTTCTATTGTCTTAATAATACATTAATTCTCAGAACTGTTCCCAAGGAAACCTTTCACAGGAATGAACAGCAGTTAAGTCTTCATTCATTTTTCTTTTCCTTGTGCTTGAGAAGTTTGTTTATCTCCCTTTTTGCCATTCCAATATACTTCGTAATGATCCCATGCTGGTTTAGTCCAGGAAACAGCAACAAGAAACTTACTAAAGAGGAGAAAAAAAATAATTACTTAGTACTCCTTTAACAAGCTTCTGTCACCTTGCAATTTCTTGCTTCCCTTAAGCCCCGTTAACTGCTTGAAAACAGAAAAATATAACCCTGCAACAAAAAAAAAGTCACCACACTCAAATAATGAAAACATACTTCTACCAGCTTCATACCATTTTAGGCAGCTAACAAAAAAGTTACTGCTGTTTTTGCATGCTGCACACTTACCAATAAGATAGGTCAGAAAGAGATTGTGAACTTGCTGTCCAATCCAAGCAACCACAGCAAGAGAAAAAAGCATGGTCATGAAGTACTAAAAAAATGAAAAGGGAACAGTTACCACAGATCTGTTGGGCCTTCTCCCCCTTCCCTTCAGTATTCAGCAACATTTAAAACTAACTTGAAGCTCACTGGCTCTTCCACACATGATACCTTATTGAGATTACAAAGTCTACAATTGTATGTGCTCATTTATTTTCAGACCATCAGTTTCACAGGACACCAGTTCTTTTCTGTCCAGATATCTCTTAGACACAGACTATGCCATTCCCATTGACACAACTTCAGCCTCACACAGTACCTCAAGCTGTTTTCAGGACAGTAAAGTCAGTAGTTCATGTGTATTACCAAGACCTATGTTTTTGGACAGTTTGTGTACACTGGAAACAAGCTGTGTTTCCAAAACCTGACCTATTCAAAGAAACACATTTTCACTTTATCTTAATATCAAGGCTATGCTCCTAACTGCACAGTATTGCAAGTTTAAAGTCATGTATCTTGCCACTCCAGGTTTGAGTAAGATTGTGACTGGCATTACGTCACTGCCAGAACTGCTGGTCCTTGGTTTGAAATACCAGTTTATTCAGACACATGCCTTGCTAAAATATTTAAGACAAAACTAAACAAAAAATCTTAAGACAAGAGAGATGAACTCCTGGAACTCAATACCATTTTAGGCTTCTCTTCCTTCAGTGTGAAGAGACGTTTCCACCAGCCAACAATTCGGCGACGAGATTTTACCAAATTGCTGCAAATCTCATGAAATCTTTGCTGCTGTTCCGTAGTCCTTTTATTAAAGAAAAGAGCCAGAAATAAGAATTCAAGACATCTGAAATTTAAAAAAATTTCCCATGGTATTTTTCCAGCAGTAAAAATTTACCCAGTATTTATCCTGGCATTCACTTCACTTAGTTTTATACCTTATCTTTATCAAGCATTGCAATACAATTGCCTGTGTAATTTTTCTGTACACTGAGGGGGGTCTTAAATTGACCCCCAAAGAGCCACCACATTGAAACCAGAGGACCATTGATTTTAATCTGATACCAGCGTGACACACACAAGTAACACACACCTCATACCAGTGTGTATTACTTCGGCTTTTACACTGGTTCATTACTAGACAAGAACATTTATCCACTAGTCATCTTAAAGCAGATACAATAAAATTTACTTTTAACTCAAAATTTAGTTCATGTAAGGTTCTTCTCCAGCTTACTGGTTTTGTATAAGCCTCGCCCTTCTTCAAATCTGTTTCAATCACTTAGAATCACATTCACAGTCTCTGCACTACTATTTCCTTCATTGTATTCACTACTGCCACTCATTCCAAACATCTAATCCAACACCC